TACACTATTGTCAAATTATCTAATGACCATCTTGCATAATCTAGTAAAGTGTCTAATCTTGATGTGTGTTGCAGAATCCAGTTCATGGTCACAGGAGGTTATTGTCATCATTTTTCTGTGCACTGTCTTGATTATAAGCCTCATGGTTATTGCTGTCTTTGCACACATAATCATCAACATGAAATGTGACTCCTGTCAAGGTACTAACTATTTTGAAGTTTTCTGAAAGAGCAGTTTTCTATCTATAACCATAGTTTATTTTATAATCCAGATGGTGGTGTGCTGCAGAAACATTGGAGTCAGGAAAGACAAAAGGTAAAGCTTAAAAGTTTAAATTACTTTCTCAACATTATTTTGATAACATCTAATTTCTACATCATTTTTATAGGGACCTAGAGACAAATGCATCTACTCTTCTGTCATTTTCACTGTGATGAATCAGAATAGTGGACCAATAAACACATCAGCTCAAAGAAAGAGGATTTATGCCACTATGAAATCCTTCGGGTCCTAACTGTCATTTAGCACATGTTTTATATGCATTTATCAAACTTTATTATTTCATGCCTACATTGAAAATGTCACACTTTAAAACATGAAGAAAAAAAATGAAGCATAGACTGCTAGATGCTCAGAGCATCCATGCAGTTGAATATTGAATGCAGCTTTTCCCATTTCAATATTTGATACTAAAAATGACAAAGTTACTTATCCTTCTTCTCAGTAGTCATAATATCATAGCCGATAGCTAGCGCTGTTCATTTCTTAGTTTTTCCTGTTTTTTTTTTGTTTTTTGTTTTTTTTTAACAAATTGAGAAATAAATAATAAAAAAAACTGGGTCATCTTTTTAAAATATTACAACAAAGATTGCTGAATTTAACAATCAATGTTTGGATCGACCGGATGAATGTGTCATGTATGATTTGATATGTTATGTGACATTTGTGGAGCTGCATTTTAAATATTATATTGGATGATGAAGTGGGATATAAAGCAAGTAGAGCAAATGACCTGTTGTGCAGGAAAAAAATATATTTATCTTGGCATATAATGACTAAATTTTTAATTGTAAGCAATAGTTTTAACCTGTTTTTCTTTGGGACTTCTTGGATTTTCATAAATTTTGTTATTTTTTTGATAAGGTAGTATATTGATATTTTGATTATTTGTACTGTGTAGCTAATCTTAACTGCTTTTGTGTTTTTTTGCTGCCATTTTGTTTGCATTCTGAATTTAATTAACTTTTTCTTCCTCTTTTCACCACCACATCAGAACTCAATTTCTTGAAGATGCTTTAATCAAGGATTTTCATAAATAATTATACAATACATAATGCTTTTCTTTACCTTTCTAAAAATGAATAAAGCTTGTTGTTCATTTGGGTGCTTCTTTTTTGAGTTCCTTTCCTAATTTTGACTTGTTCTTCATTTATGTGAGTTGAGTACAGCTGCAAATGAAACCTGCTGAGAGGAACAAGTACACATAAACATAAACTTCACTATTCTAATTTAAGTAGATAGACATATCCATGATATTCTCTGCACTCACAAATGCCAATCTACGTCTCTGAACCATTACATCCCTGCACACCCATCAGGGCCTTGAGGTCCAGTAATTTGTCACCCACACCAAACTGTAAAATTAAAGGATGATTTTTAAATACACTAATTAATTAATGTTTTCTACTCTATTCTATTTTTAACTTCAGAATCATTTTGATATTTTAATATATTTGCCACATGACGAAAAGCACAATACCAAAAGCATTTAACGATCTATTCAAATGTATACACCTCAATTTTTTTTTTTTTTGGTCAAATGAATTGCAGAAAGAAACACATTTTCTATCTATCATCATTTAACAAAAATAAGTATTTTTTTAATCACTTTTCACAAGATGGCTAAGCAGCTGAGAGAGAGGGTCTGTTTCTGTGGCTCTTTGTTTTTCTCACTACAGCAATCCGCTTAACAGGAAATAAAACACGTTTCCACACGAGTCCAACTGCTTTAGTTTGAATAGCAACAAAATTGGAGCCATTAAAGTAGAATGAGTCAAAGTAAAAATGAACCCAACTCAACTTGTATATATGTTTTAAACAAACTGATCGTCTTCCTTTGCAATTTTAACAGTGTGTGCTCATTTTGTATGTGCACATGGTGTGTTTCTGAGGCTGCAAGCAATGGCGAATGAACAGGAAACGTGAGGTGTGACTTTGCAGTGGGACAAACACCCTGCAATCACACAAGTGATGTGGTTTGCTTCAGACACAGTTTATTAAAAACAAGTTCTTTTCACTTCTGGCCATCTAGTTTTGTATCATGGAAATAACACAGACTGTTCTGAAACAATGGCCATTACAGCAGTTAAAACCTTCTGTTACAAAACAAAACAAAACAAAGTTTTATGGTTTTATTATTTATTCATAAGGAGAGATTTAAAGTGCATCATAAAGATTTTCCGTGTTCTTATAATTCAACCTAAGACAAACCATGTATTGTCAACTAATGCAAAGACTTTTCTATGGCTTTACTTCTCTGCAGTCAGCAGCTAAGTTAGAGTATTTACTGAGCCTTGAAAAGTTTTAATAATATCTCTTCAACATTTTCACCTTTGCTCATATTACAATAACAAACTTCAGCCTTTCTAATTGTAAGTTTATGCGGCAGACTATGCTGGAGTAATACATGACTGTGAAATACAAAAAAAAAAAACTCGTACATGTGTTGCCTTTTATTAATAATGACAAAATTAAAAGCCAAATTAAAAGCCTTAGTAGGTAGCACTGTCACCTTGCAGCAAGAAGGGCCTGGCTGGGCCTTTCTGTATTGAATATGCATGTTCTCCTCATACATGAGTGGGTTCTGTCTGGGTAATGTGGCGTCCTCCAATAGTGCAGTCAAAACGTGATCTTTTGATTATAGGTCTCTCTAAACTGCCCTTAAGACTACGTTTGTGTGCATGGTTGTTTACCATTTGTGTTTCAGTGGGTGTACAGTATTTCCTCTTACCCAACGACTGGAGACAGACACCAGACACCTCACCTTTACCCCAAAACTGTACAAGGAGAAGCAGAGGAGATGAAGAGGTCACTTAAATAGTTAAAGGGGGATTGTGCTGTTTTACAGCACAGTTAAGTAACTATGTTACCTTCAGTTGTTTTAAAATGCTCTATCTATCTATCTATCTATCTATCTATCTATCTATCTATCTATCTATCTATCTATCTATCTATCTATCTATCTATCTATCTATCTATCTATCTATCCATCCATCCATCCATCCATCAGATAGATAGATAGATAGATATAATATAGCTTAAAGAAAACTTGACCTTGAATGTAACACCTTGAAATTTTGCCTCTGCCTCTTTAAGAAGCTCCTACTCTTTCAGATTCTCCATCTTCAGCACATCATCACTTCAATGTTCATCAAGTATGCTGTTTACAACCATTCTTAAGAGCTACGGACTGAAAAGTAGTTTGTTATTTCTTGCTGCCGCTAGTCTGAAGAAGCTGAGCTGGGGAGGCATTGGGGAAGATGCTCTGTGAGGCAAAGCTTGGCTGGAGATCACAGCTACAAGGAAAAGCTTTGTGAAATTAGGCCTTGCTTGGTGACAGCAAACGTTTAGGCACCACTGAGTGGTTGCCATGGAGGATTCAAGGATTACTCAAACATGAGTGAAGGAATCAAAGCAACACTCAAAGAAGTGGAGTCAGGCACGTGTGGGGAGGGTGGGGGAGGATGTTGTTGGGGTTCTTTTTTGTATTTTTCAAGAAAAACAACATAATGAGCCCCCGGTCACCTTGTTACCTTTGAGCTTTTGCCCATGACAAATGACGCAGTTGCCCCTCGTACAGTGAGGTAAGGCGGCTAACTGGAGCTCAACGTAGCAAACGTTCCAGATCACAGAACAGTTTTTGGTGAATAAAAAAAAAAATGTTTTTGGTGAATAAAGTGGAGTAGACTTGCTACTTGTCAGATGACGGAAAATGTTGAAGTATCGTTTCCGCTTCAGCACGGAGTAGCGGTTTAAGCAGAGAGGTAATGAAATACAACAGACACTGACAGGCCTCTGCGTCTGGCTTTCTCTGAAGAACTACTGAACGGGAGGAGACAGCCAGGTGAGGAAAAACTGTTCTTATCTATCGATTCAGTATTTTTATCATACAGACATTAGGCTGCTGTTGTTGTTGTGCCATTAGCTAGCTGCTAGCTAACGACTTTGCTAGCAAAGCAAGATAACTAAAAAGCTTCTTCCTGTATCGTTAATGATATCAGTCATTCTTCAGTATCGCTTATGCAATAGGGGCACATCGCCCGTCCAAAACTGATCATCTCCATAATGGATTTATGTCTTCTAATTTCCTTTGCTGCATAAAGTACATTGCATTAATTCCAGCGTTAGGTAAATGTATCTTGAAGGAGAATAGCACTTAAATAAAAGTCCAACAAGGATATTCATTTAGAATTAAAAATAACTCACCCTGAATTACCATGATAGATATAATGTATGTCATTAATGAAGGGGAAAAAACTCAACCCAGACTTTAAGTTTAGGGTCTGGTTCGTAGAGTATGTAGTTAAATTTTTTCCCCAATTATTCAATGGGAAAAAATAAACTAACCTCAGTTAAGTAAAATAAAATTGTAATCAAAACTTTTGGAATTGTAATGATTTCTTTTTTAAAAACAAATTCTTCCTCTTATGACCAACCTGTCGGCGCCGACAGGATTCCGCATGTGTAATTCCCATTA